AAAGTCTCATGTTCCCTCTTACTGAAGGCTCCTAGCTCCAAATCTTCAGATGTGAATACATAGCTTGTAGTAACTACAGAAATCAAGAAAGTAAAATGGGTCCATTGCCAGGACAGAGGGATTGAGAGACAATAGATAGGGGGATGCAGAGTATAAGTAATCTGATCAGGGAAAAGGGAAAAAGGCGGGTTCCTTAGGTAGAGAGAGGGAGGTAAATACAGAAGAGGGTAAGAAGAGAGTAAAGGGGAAGAGCAGGATACAAGTGATCTAACAGGGGAAATGGGAAAGGAGGGGTCTTTAGAGAGAGGGAAAGAAGGTAAATACAGAAGAAGAAAGGGAGTAGATAAAATAATAATTAAGATGCCTGAAAAAGCCATAAAGAATTATACTATTTGTAGATGTAACAGTCTTATTACATAAGAAACACAGAGTCAAATGCAGAGTTAAAAGCCCAAGAAGTCAGAGCAGTAGCTAGGAGCTGAGACTTAAAACTGCCTTCTTACCTTCCTGCCGCTGCCATCCTTCCCCTCAGAAAGAGGCCTACTTCCTGTGTGTCTGTCTTTTTATTGACTTTCTGTTCTGCCTTCTTATTGGTTGCAAACCCAACCACATGACCTCCTCGTCACTGCCTGTCTATACAGACCTCTAGGTCTCTATGGTTGGTATTGAGATTAAAGGCATGTGTCTCCATGTTGGTTGTATCCTTGAACACACAGAGATCTGCCTGACATGTGATCGGGATTAAAGGTGTGCGCCACCACCGCCCGGCTTCTGCTATGGTTTGCTATTAGCTCTGATCCCCAGGCAATTTTATTTATTAACATACAAATAAAATCACATTTCAGTACAAATGAAAAATCACCATAACTATTAAATATTTATCTAAAAACACTGCTTAATTCCATTTATAAATACACATATATAGTTTTAATGAGCTTTTCTCAACTGGGCTGGCAAATTCTCCTTCCAAGAGTCAAAGAGTACCTAACAAAACCCCCAGTACTAAATGTGAGAAACTCTTCTGACTTGTTGGCTAGGGCTGTCCAAGAGACTCCTAAAACATACAGCCTATTGCTGTTGTCCTTTGTTGCCCCCTGGTGGTGGAAGGTAAGTCACTATTACTGAAGACACCATGCACTTCAGACACAGGGCCCAGAGACCCATGAGCTGGAACTGACCTGAATGCCACCTTCCTGAGTACTAGCTTTCATGTACCAGAAGGCACCTTGCAGATTTCCAAAGAAGGGAGGCAACCAACAATCCTATCCAGCTAGGTTGCTCATGAACCACATCCAAGACCAGCTTGGCATGATAACCATATGGGTGCAGTAGTGGCATGAATACCTGGTAGTAACCAACAATTCCCTAATTTGATTTAAGACCTTCTCAACAAGAGGGAAAATATTCCTGGTACTGGAAATCTAGCTAATTACTCAGCACTAGTGAAGTCAATGTTATTGGGAGAGAATCTACAACCTAACTACAATCTATAAACATTTGTCCTTATAACCATAGATAAGTGTTGTCTGCATCCATCATCAAGGAAATTCTCTTTCCAACAGATGGAGACCACTATAGAAAACCACAACCAATCAAAATGCAGAGTTGTTACACCCAGTCTCAATGGACATAATCTACAAAACACTCCCACACCTAAGGTTCAGGGAGTGTTGTGGAAGAGAAAGATTGTAAAAGCAGGAGAGGTAGTATTCCCCAAAGAAGATTACACCTATCAGTTGTCCAGTGCTAAGTGGTCAGCCTTGAAAACATATACACAAGTAACATTGCATGGATGGAACAGGTTTGATTTAGGAATATATATGTGTATACATATCCATATGTGTCAATATATACATACACATACACATATGCACATGTAATAACAATTGGAAAAAGAAGCCATGTATTTGAAGGAGAGTGGAGAGGGGTATTTGGGAGGTTTGGGGGAGGAAAGGAAAGGGAGAAATGCTAAAATTATAATATAAAAATAATCCGATTATCCTGAAACTAACCAGTATAGGAATGGGCATAAATGTTTTTAAATAGCTATGTGATGTTTTTACAGTTTCAGAAAATAAGTGGCTTCCATAATCTAGCTCATGGCAAGATTCCTTTTGACTGCATGATGTATTACCTCCTTCCCTTGATCCTAGATAAATAATCTGAAGGAGGACATACTCCACACATATTCTGTCAATGTCTGTTTTTCTGAGATTGGCACATATTTCAAATTTTATTTTGAGCTACACCTAGGGAGAAAAACATCCTTAATACCTTCTTTACTTATTTTTAATGCCTTTTCTTATTTTTTAATATTTCCCTTTCCTAGTTTCAAATATTTTCTTTTCTTAGTTTTTCATCTTTTCCTTTCTGATTTTTAAGAAACCTTCCTCCTTCTTCCAGGCATTCTCCTTCTGATTCCCTTATTCTTTTCCTGTGTCTTCTCAAGTTCTCTCACTCAGCTTTATCCCTTTCTTGTTTTTTTTCTCTTCTATCTCAGTTTTCCTTTATTTCATCATCTAATCTCTGGTGACGACGAGATGGTTTGTTTGTGAACTAGGATATAACTCAGTTTATTACATACAAGAATCCCTTTTGCTGGACATTTCAACTACAAAGAGGTTAGGAGAAGATTCCAAATCAAAAGTCAAGGCTCTTAAAGCTATCAGCAAAAACAACAAAGCCCTGTGTCTGAATTACTTTTTCTTTTCTGTCTTTCATCTTTGCTCTGAGAAGGAATTTTTTAGGCTTGTTGTGGATTTTTACAAGAAGGGGCCTTCTGTCCCTGTCCTGGCACTAAAACAACTCTTCAAGGTCACCTGTAACCTTCACCTGTAACCAAAATCACTTGTAACCTTGATTGTGTCAGATTCGATGGCCACCATTGCATCTGACTCTCACTTGATCTTCTTGGGTTGCTTTGTTGGCCTTCTGCCTTTCTTTTGGATGCTGGCCACTTCTGCTCAATCACCTCAGCTGATACCAATACTTTCTTTATTTAACATGCTTGGGTGCCCAATGTCAGCTCCTGGCCTATTCATTTATCCATGCAAATTCTCTCCCTAGATGAACATTTGTGCCCTGAGCCCTTCTAAATATAAATGACACATCTGGACTTGCCTCTACACTCCAGATTTCTGACAGAAAGAGGCCTAGTCATACAGAAATCTCCACTTGACAAAGATTATCTGACATTTTCATTTGTAATGGACTCACAAGTTGAACCACAACCAATTGGAACAGAACTCTAAATCCATTGCCACTCATCGTCCCAACAGGCTTTTCTCCCAGCATCTGATTCTAAGTGGTTATCACTGGCCATCTACCCAATGCTCAACTAAAGCCTACTCCCAGCTCGGTTCCAGCACCATTAGCTCTACCTTTGAAATAAGGTAGAAGTCTAGCTACTGTTTGCAACTCAGCTGCCTTGCTCTTGTCTATACCCCAACTTCCCTAGGCTGCAGGTCTCCAGTTGTTTCCAGAGGTTGTTCTGTCAGTACACTTGTCCTCGTGGTGGCACTTTCTCTACACACAGTAGCTAGGATAACTTTCATAAGCGCGCATCATTCTTCCCTTTGCTAATGACCTCTTCGAATGTCCTTACCCCAATCTTGGTATTCTCTGTAATTTGCTTCTTCTGTGGTTGGACCTCTTGAAAGCTTAGACCTTTTTTATGCTTGCTGGTTTCTCTCTCATAGGTAACATAAGAACAAATAATTAAGCCAAGTGTGGTAACACACACATTTAATCCCAGAACTTGGGAAGCAGAGGCAGATGGATCTCTGTAAGTGTGAGGCCAGCCTGGTCTACATAGTGAATTCCAGGACAGCCAGGGCTATATAGAGAGACCCTGTCACAAAAACCCAAACAAAACCAACAGTTAATTATGGATCTGAAAATTCTTTAAGCTATTTATTAGGTATAGGTGAGAGCTTCCTGTGAACCTCCTCACTTTTAATAAGTCTCAAAGATTAGAACTTCAGGAATGGCATTCAGTTGCCCATGGTCTAACAGACACTACTAAAGAGAGCTGTGGAAAGTAGTGTGGACTTGGAGAGAAAAAAAGGCAAAACCGTGGGAGAATAAATAGGAGAGCAAAACACAAAGGGAGGTGGGTGGTTTCACAGTGAGGCACAAACTTCCTTATCTTGTAATTCATATTATTGTAAAATATCATAAACTGAGCTGTTAGAGAAAGAGGAGTAATGAAATGATATTAATTAGCTTCATATTAATTATGCTAAATACTCTTTCTGAAAAAGATCTAAAAATGGTTTAGAAAGAGCTAATGATGTTTATATTATTGGGCAATGTGTCTATAATAAACATTAATTATATGGTATTAAACCAGTCCATAGAGCTTTTGAAATGTACAACACGTTAATAAAACAGCAGAAACCTAATTGCTACTCTTAGATTTTAGAACTGAAATAACTTAATGATAAGAAATATTTTAATGAGGAAAAACACGCACAAAACATTTTGTGTAATGTAGTGTTTCAGTGTAGGGAAAAAATGTGAAAGTCACTAAAATCAAAAGAATTACTCAAACCTTATAACCTAGATAAAACTGTTAAATTTCTTCTTATTTCTAACATAGCTTATTGTGTGGGTTTCAGAGCCTTTTATAAGTCAGCCACTAGAGAGCAAACTTCTTCTTTTTATCAGGCTGTAGCTTTACTATTATTTTTTTTAAAAAAAAAAAAACCCTCACACCATATATATAGGTAGCCTCAGAATACCACATTATCTGACTGTAAAATCTGATCATATAGCTTCCAAGTGCCTGGGGGCAGTGGTGAGGGATGGAAGTGGGAATTTTGAGGCCATTTATATTAAAAACGTAAGAAAGAACAAGTAAGATGTGGTTATGTTGAGCCTCCTTCCTGGGGTGAAAATGAAACCTGCTGCTAATGGAGCCTAAAGTCTTATATTTCATCCCATGTATGAAATATGACAGGCACTGTTGGCTCTGACAGGCATCTTGGGCCTTTTTCTAGTTTAAGTCTCCAGAGGGGCCAGAGAAATGATGCTGTTTCCAGATAAAGTGTGCATAGATTACACTGTCGACTACCTCTGCCACATTCAGTTCCAGAGGCTCTGGCCGGAAAAGAGAAAGCTGCTGCTTTAAGAACATTTGCATCATTGGACTAACCTTCATGTGGATATTTCTTCCAAAGGTGAGCATGGTACCCCCCAAAACATTAATGTGTAACCTACCAAAGGACACCCAGGAACAGAGGAGAGAATGCAAGGGGGTGCATAGAAGTCTTTGTTTCCAGGCTCCAGAGTCTTTGTAAGCCTTCTTGCCAGAATTGAGAGATAATTAACTGAGTCAAAGCCTTGCTTTCCTGGTGGCTGTTTAACAGTTGGCCAGAGGGATGCTGGGTGGAAGAAAGTTATTGGAATCAGATTTTATCTCTGTTTTCTGGGCCTTGGGACATCAGAGTGTTAGTTGTCCACATTGAACAGCTATTACATTACAAAAAGTATCTAACAAAGGAGGTTACAAAATCTTCAAGGGAACGCTTCTCCAAGGTTTATTGGCTGTTCTACTTAGGTTGATTTTATATGTTGAAAGACATAGGTGAAGCTGTCGATGTGTGAATCATTTGTCTTAGTAAATTCTCCCATTTTACAGGGTTTAGCCTAACAGTTCATACTCCAGGGCCTTCAGTGGAGAGCTTTCACCTGGGCCCTGTTCCCTAGTTCATCATCCATCAGCGTAGATGCATGCCCAGCAAGGCCCTAGTATGCCAGTGCCTCCCACTATGGACACATGCTGAAGCCTTCTCAGGTGCATGGTGATCCCAGAACTCTGTAGCAAACACTCATTAAGTGAGGTCTTGTGTTTACAGGGAGAAGCTGAAATTCCTCACCCACAATAGGAGAAGCAGACTGGGCATCATTCTCTAAAGTGCTGTTGGGAGTAGGAAAGAGCAGAACTGGCAGCTTGTTAAAAGTGTTCGTTGCCAAGGTGACACCTGAATGGAGAGGTGGATACTTCCATGGAGAACTGGAAACTTAACCAAGGCTTAGGTGAGCCAGACCACCCCTAGTCTAGATGGGGAACTTTGAGCAATTTATTCAACTTCTCAGTACCACAGAGTCATAAATAAGATGCAGGTAAACATCACTATTCTATGTTCTCTTCTGGAATTTAGACTTGACTGTATTTCCAAAGGTCTGTGAGGAGTCAGCCAAGTTCTTTACTGATATACCATGGAGAACCCAAGGAAGGACCTGGAACTAAACCTGAGGGAGTCAGGCTGGCAGGCAAGTCTGGCTCAACCTGGACACTCCATGGAATAAGAGAATCAAGGCAAACAGCTGTTATATGGTATGTTTTCTTTTGGTCCAGTTTCCTGCAGGAGGGAGGATGAGAGAGAATTTCAGTAGAGACCTGAGAGAATTCTCTTTTACCTCCTATCACTAAGACTCGAGGACCATGGCAGAATCGCTTCCATGGCCTCTAACCCTACTGTAGCTTGGAATTGGGGTAAAAGCAAAGAGGATAGACAGCTCCAGAGCCCACATCCCCATTCCTATAAGGCTTCTGCTGGGGTCTGGGAGGGGCCCAAAGGGGAGTGATACCCAGCAAAAATAGTATCTTCCTTTATGTCAGATAGCATTGTTCCTGGGCACATTCCAGAGAGACCCTGGGAGTGCTCAGAATGTTAGGTGGATAGATGCTGTGCTGGGGAAGAGAGGCTGACAGGGCCAGAGATGCACATAACAGTTTATTATTTCTTCCTTTACCTGTTGAACCATCTTGCTGACCCCATAATTATATTTCAATTTTTAGTTAATACCTGTTTATTTCCATTGTCATTACCGTGTGGGTATTGTTCAATACCGACCTCAGTACTACAGTGTGGCTACATTTTCTTTCTTTTGTAGACCTTTTGGTTTTGGATGTTAAAGCTGGTTATTTTCACTTGATTCACTTTTTTTTGACATATCATAATTCTTATCCATTTGAAAAGCTTTAAAAATGGCTTTTTATATAAGTTTCACATGGTCAAATCTGTCATATAATTTGTCATTTCTATTTTATTCTGTAGAATTCCTTCTGACCCTTCTAACCTCCATTCCATTCCTAAGACAAGTGTCTCTAGATTTTTTTCTTACTGATGGGCTATCATCAACTTTGTTTTGGGCACATTGTAATACAGCCAGCTTTCCATATATGCATATGATTATGCACCTCCAGATACAACTAGCTATGAACCCCCAAACATTTTTTTTAACTTGTATCTATAGTGGCCAAACTCCTTTCTTGTCATTATTACCTAAACAATATATCATAGCAATCATTTTTATGATGTTTATATTAAATCAAGTTTAATATATAATCCAGAGATTATTTGGGGGTCTTGTGTATTGATTATATGCAAATTAAGCAAGATTTTATGTAAGGGACTTGGATGTCTATGGTGATATTTTATTTGTGCTGAAATGTGATTTTATTTGTATGTTAATAAATAAATTTTCCTGAAGATCAGAGGTCATAGCCATTAAGCAGAAGTCTGACAGTGGTAGCACATGCCCTTAATCCGATCACATGGCAGGCAGAGTCTCTGTGTGTTCAAGGACACAGCCAGCATGGTGACACATGCCTTTAATCCCAGTACCAACCATAGAGACCTGGAGGTCTGTATAGACAGGCAGTGATGAGGAAGTCATTTTGTTGGGTTTAGAGCCAATGAAAAGGCAGAACAGAAAGGCAATAAAAAGACAGGACCCAGGAAGAAGGTCTCTCTCTCTCTCAGGGGATGGATGGCAGCGAGTGGTCTTAGGTCTTGGCTACTGCTCTGATCTCTGGGCTTTTAACTCTTTATTTGGCTCTGTGTTTCTTATTTAATAAAACCCTTTAGAATTTCATCTACAGATGTCTTTGGAAAGGAGTCATACAGTTTCCTACAAGTACAGAAATGATTGTATCTCTAACATTTGTATCATTTATTTGTTGATGTTTCTTTTCTGTAAATAAAGTAGAATGTACATATTGAAACAAAAATATTAAAAGGCTAACAAAAAGATAAATAAAAAGAAAGTATCTTTTCCTTTCTGTGCCCTAGTTTTTAACCCTTCATTCTGCCAAGCTAGCTCATAGTGGCTGTCTAGGGACTTTGCTTTACTATCGACCCTGGAATTCCTCTTGTGTATTTCTTATAGTGGGCCTTATTTCCTAGGCTTGTGTTCTCTTCTAACTACCTGTACTAGCATCTTCTAGTAGCTTCCTAAGTAAAGGTGCAAGGGAGACACATTCCTAATGTGTCTACCCAAAATGTCTTTACTGTCAGAGTACAGTGACCACAGATAGCAATTATGTATTTCAAAGAGCTGGAATAAAAGATTTAGAAAATTTTACTATGAAGAAATGATAAATGCTTGAGAAGAGAAATATGTTTAAATGTTATTCAGTGGATGCATCTATTGAACATTACAGTAGACCCTGTTTACATGCATGTGTTTTATATGTATATATTTTAAAAGGTTATTATTTATAAAAGAATGAGATAAGTCACAGTTTAAGAGGAAATGTTTACAAAACTTGTATCTGATAAAATACTTTATCCAAAATAGGAACTTCAAGCTTAAGAAAGCAAATAACCCGATTTAAAAATAGGCAAACTGTCAGAACAGAAGACAGCTTATGAAAGAAGACATACAGATACCAGGTAAGTGCATGACATTCAGCATCATATTTCATAAAGAATAACAAATCACTGTACACATACAATAGCTTTTAAAGTCCAAATCACAGATACCACCAAATACCAGAAAGGAAATGAAGCAACAGGAATGTGCTTTGGGATAATGCTTTTGTACACTGTGAAGATTTGTCACTCATATTGGTTTAATAAAACGCTGATTGGCCAGTAGCCAGGCAGGAAGAATAGGCAGGGTGACCAGACCAGGAGAATTCTGGGAAGAGGAAGGGTGGAGTCAGGAGTCACCAGCCAGACACAGAGGAAGCAAGATGAGAATGCTGTCCTGAGAAAAGGTACCAAGCCACACGGCTAAACATAGATAAGAATTATGGGTTAATTTAAGTGTCAGAGCTAGTTAGTAATAAGCCTGAGCAACAGGCCAAACCACTTGTAAACAGTATAAGCCTCTGTATGTTTATTTGGGACTGAGTGACTGTGGGACCAGGCAGGACAGAAACTTCTGCCTACAGGAGTGCTCATTTATTGCTGGTGGGACTGTCAAATGCACAGAAGATGAGCATGTAGTTTCCTATAAAATTAAACATAGTCTTAGCACACAACCCAGCAATCCAAATGGGTTCAAAGTTGAAGTTTGTACAAAATCTTCATATGAATGTTTACAACAGCTTGATTTATAATTGCCCAAACTTGGAAGCAACTGTCTTCTAATAGGTGGATAGATAAATATACCATGGAACACTCATACAATTGAATATGTTAGCAAAATAAAGAGGTGAAAAGATGAGAACAGACATGCATATTCCCGGTGAACAAAGTTAGTAAGAAAAAAATTGTATTATTCTCACTACATAATATTCTGGGAAAGGTAAAATTGTGTAGACAGTCAAAAGATTGGTGGTTATGAGGAGTTTAGGGAGAAGGGTGAAGGAGGATATTCAGACAGTAAAACTTTCCCAATCAATATTGTGATATACATACATATATCTATATCTCTATATTTGCCAAATGATATGTGCATATCACTGAAGATTTGCCTAAACCCACAGACGAGCACATCTTTTAGTGCATCTAATGTTGATGACAAAATTCTTCATCCATTTATGGATTATAACATATATATCACTTATATCACATTGATATAAAATAGTAAGAGTTTACGGTGGGGATGGGAAAGAAAACAGAAACAAGAGCTATGGTACTCTCTAATTTCTGTCCAGCTTTTCCATAAACTTAAAAGCCACATTAGAAGAAGACGTGAGGTTGGGAGAGGGATGTGGAGGAGGATCTAGAAGGAAATTCTCAAATAATACTATATTATCAGAAAAGTAAAGTTCTTTAATTTCTCTCCTTTAATATTTATCTGGGGCTGTGAATTAGTGAACACTTTCTGAACATCAGTTCCTTTACTTTGTTACTACTGTTGTTAGACTTCTTGCTTATGTGTGCAACTTGTTTTCCAATTCTCCAGTTGGGTTTCTCACAATGTCTTTGGCATCTTCTCCAGCTTTTGATATTGCTCAGTTTCCTATGTGCCTCACATCTGTACTAGGTGTTTATGTGGTACTTATGTTGGAAGCTTTCCTCACATTTCTGGCAATACTTGTCTGTCTGTTTGTAGTTAAGAACAGAAATGAAAAGGCTCCTTGGAAGCTCTGTGTGCATTTGTGGGGCTGGCTGATGTGAATAGCTGATGAGCACAGAGCTTGTTGGAGATCCTTATGTACATGGTGTTCAGAGAAGGATGCTCCCCTCCCCAATGGACAATGCTCTGGAGCTGGCCGTGGAAATGCTCCAGTCTCTAGAATGCAGATTTTACTTGCCCCCCTCTGTGGTCAGCATGGAGCTGCCTCTCTTTCTTCCTCTTTGCTTGGTTTTTTATGTTTGGAGACTTGTGGTTAAGTTTCTCTAGATATTACAGGATGATGGAGGGGTAGCTGTTTCACCATGCAGAGTAGGAGTGAGAACTTGGTTTAGGAATAGCTTATCTCTTCTTTACACATAATGTTTCAATGACTCCATCTTCATCTTCCCGTTCACACCTGGTGTCCAAGGCATCTTGGTTATCCACTTTCTGAGCTTCTTTTAAAGCTCTGTGAACAGGTCAGTACTTAACTAATATCAGTTGCTATTACTATCACAGGGGTCTGTTGCCACAAACAGCAGTTATTTTGGTTTGGTCATGTGTTTTGATTTTTCTGTTAAGTCACTTGTCATGCTCCTGTCTATTTTCAATCTTCCTATAATGAGAATGACACAGTTGTTGAGGTAGGTAGAACAATGTGCACCCTGCTCCCAAGATAGCCATGTGGTATTACTGGAATATGTGACTGTTGCCTCATTTGGGAAAGCAGTCTTTGCAGGTGTGATTAGATGAGGCTTTTGAGGTTAGAAGACTGTCCCGATAATTTGGGTGGCTCTAAATGGCCCTCTTATAGAAGAGACACAGAGAAGAGAAGGCAAGGTGGTCATGGAGGCAGAAATGAGAGTGATGTGCTCTCAAAGGAGTTGCTGAAGAGACATGGTGCCGGGAGGAACAAAGAAGGGGTTCTCCCCTAGTGTCTTCAGGGAGCAGGGCCTACCAACTCCATAACTTTGGACTTTGGGCCTCCACAATTGTGAAAGAATATGTTCCTGTTGCAAGTTACCTTACTAGAAAGTACTATGGAATTAGCACAAATAATCTTCTAGTTTTACAAAAGACAGGATTTATGTTTCAGATTTTTATTCTTTTGGTTTGTATGAGCAAGGGGCCCTTATTATCCATGTCGAATCTGGAAGTGATTCAATATGATTTAATATTTCTCCATTTTTTGGAACATTGGTTTCCTTTATTTAGCTCCCATTATGATGAGTCACAGTGGACATTCCAGTGATGCAAACATCAAAAATGTTTACTATAGGCTGGGGAGACAGCTCAATCAGTAAAGTGCTTGCACACACAACTTCAGTACAAGTTCCCAGCACCCATGGAAAAGCCAGGTGCAGAATTATATTCCTGTAATAGGTGATGGGGAGACAGAGACAGGAGGATCATTGGCATTTGCTGGCCAGCCCAACATAACCCTACTAGGGAGTCTCAAGTTCAGTGAGAAATCCTGTGTGTTGGCTATTTTTATGTCAGCTTGACACAAGCTAGAGTTATCTGAAAGGAGGGAACCTCAATTGAGAAAAATGCCTCTATAAGATCTGGGCTGTAGTGCATTTTCTTAATTAGCGATTGGTGGGGGAGGGCCCAACCTATTGTTGGTAGTGTGGTCCTGTGTAGCAGGACTTTCTTTGGACTGCCAGCTCCCAAATAAAGACACAGACACTTCTTGTTAATTATGAAAGCTTGGCTTTCAAATAGTATTACCCCCTGGTGACTAAGCATTCAAATATATGAGCCTGTGGAGAACATTCTTATTCAAACCGTCAAAATTGCCTTTACTATTTTGAGGTATTGTACTGGTTAGTTTTGTGTCAATTTGACACAAACTAGAGTAATTTTGAAAGAGGGAAGCTCAATTAAGAAAATACACTCACTAGATTGACTTGTGCTGCACTTTCTTGATTGATGATTGATATGGTAGGGCCGAGCTCAATGTGGGTGATGCCCTCTGGGCTGGTGTTCTTGGATGCTATGAGAAACTACCTTGGGAAAGCCATAAAGAGTAAGCCAGCAAGTAGCATTCCTTCATAGTTTCTGCATCAGTTCCTGCTTCCAAGTTCCTCCTTGGGTCTTTCCCTAACCTCCCTGGATGATGGTCTACAATGATGTAAGTTGAAATAAACTCTGTCCTCTTCAAGTTGCTTTTTGGTCATGGTATTTTATCACAGCAATAGAAGCCCTAACTAAGACAGACATGTTCCCTCAAGTTCTACTCTTTATAAGACTTTTATAATGATATAACTTTTGATTTTGTCAAAGGCTTTTTCTATATTTATTGAGATGATTATGTGATTTTTGTCTTCATGTATATTTATGTCATTTATTATACATTTATTATATTTACTTATGTATGTTGAACTATCCCTGCAGTTTCAGGACAAAGCCAAGTTGATAGTGATCTTCTTGATGTGCCTATATTTGGTTTGCTACTGTTTATTTTATTGAGAATTTTCACATTTATGTTCATAAGGAATATTAAGCTACAGTTTTTCTTTCTTCCATCTTTCTTTCTTTCAGTTTCTTTTTATTTTTCTGTCTTTTTTTGTGCCTTTACCTGGTTTTGGTGTTAGAGTAAGACTGACTTCTTAAAATGAGTTTGGGAATGATTCTTTTGTTTCTATATTTTGAATAGTTTAAGAAATATTTGTTATAAATCTTTGAAAGTATGGTAGAACTCTGTGGTGAATACATCTGGGTCTAGACTTTTTTATTACTGTTTAAATCTCCTCAGTTGTTATGGATCTGTTTATATTGTGGATTTAACTTTGGTAGTTTGGGTGAATAAAGGAATGTATCTATCTCCTCTAGATTTTCTTACTTAATGGAGAACATGTTTTTAAAGCATTCCTTTGTAATATTCTGAATTTTGTGTGTGTTGTAATTTCCTTGTTCATTCCTGATTCTGTTAATTTGAGCCATGCTTTTATTTCTTTTGGTTAGTTGGTCCAAAGGTCTATGGAGCTTGTTTATCTTCTTAAGAACCCGATTCATTGATTCTCTGTATCATTTTCCTTGTTTCTATGTCATTAATTTCTACTCTGAGTTTTTATTATTTCTTGCCATTGTGGTGGTATGAATAAGAATGGCCCCTATAGGCACATATGTTTGTATACTTAGGCACCAGGGAGTGGCACTATTGGAAAGAATTAGAAGAATTAAAAGGTGTGGTCTTGTTGGAGGAAGTGTGTCACTGGGAGTGGATTTTGAGGTTTCAAAAGCCCATGTCAATCCCAGAGTCTCTCTTTCTGCCTATAGATCATGATGTAGTTCTCAGATACTGCTCTAACACCTGCCTGTATGCTGTCATGCTCCCTGTCATGATGATAATGGACTTCTGAAACTGTAAGCCAGTTTCCAATTAAACACTTTCTCTTACAGTTGTTGCCTTGGTCATGGTGTCTCTTCTCAGCAACAGAACAGTGACTAAGACAGCTATCTACTGCATTTGGGTTTGGTTTATTTTTGTTTTTAACCAACTTTTGTGTTGCATAATTAAATCATTTGCTTGTGTTCTTTCTAATTTTTAAAATGTAGGCATTTAGGGCTACAAACTTCCCTCTTAGAAGTTTAAATTATGTATCTTTTATTTTTATGAGTATATATGTGATTCTGTGAGCTTATGTGCCCCACATGTATGCAGTATCCTATGGAGCACAATAGGATCATCTGGAACTGGAGTTACAGACAGTTGTGAGCTGCCATACAGATGCTGAGAATTGAACCTGGACCTCTGGAAGATCAGGGGATATTCTTAACCCCTGATCTATCTCTCCAGCCCCTAGAACTGCTTTTAATGTGTGTCTAAAGTTTTACTGTATTGTGTTTTAATTTTTATAAAAAATATTTAGTTTCAGGGGTATTTTTTTATTTCATTCTTGATTTCTCCTTTGCCATACTCATCATTAAATAATGAGTTGCTTAATTTTCATTAGTTTATGCACTATGTAAAGATTTTCTGTCAATTTTATGTTTTATTGCATAATCCTCACATGGAATTATTTAAAATTTTTTGATTTTGCTATGGTTTGTTTTGTGTCTCAGGATGTGATCTATTTTTAGAGAAGCAGCCATGGGCTACTACATAGAATGTATATTCTTTGTTGTTTGTGTGGATTATTCTGTAGGTTTTGTTTGTTTGTATTCTTACTTGTGGTTTGTTTTCCTTGTTAAATTATATATTCATTTGTTTCTTTTTACAGACTATTGGCTGTGCTTATTCTTCTCTTCAGTTTGCTTATAATATCATCTTTAGGTTGTTTTGGTCAATATGAATTTTTTTTTAGGCTATTTGTATTATAGGAAGATTTTCTTTCTCCTTCCACTACAGCAGATAGTTTTGCTAGGTACAAAAATCTAGGTTGGAAGTTGTGGTCTTTTGGAACTTTGGGTGAAACTCCAGGCTCTTCTGGGTTTCAAATTTTTCATTGAGAAATCAGGTGTTATTATGATAGGTTCTCCTTTATATGTGCCTTGTGTTTTTGCTTTTGAAGCTTTCAGTATTTTTTCTTTGTTCTGTATACTTACGAGTTTTAGCTATGATATGCCACAGGGACTTTGGTCTTGTCTAATTGGGGTTCTGTGTGTTTCTGTATGGATATGTCTTTCTTAGTTTGGAGAAGTTTTCTACTTAGAACTTGTTGAAAATCTGATTTATGCCATTGTGCTCTGCCATTGACTTGGGGTTCTTCTCCCTCATCTATGACTATAATTTGAAGATTTTGTCTGTTGATGGTATTCCACATTTCTTGCATGTTCCCTCTATGTGCTTAAAAAGTCCATTCTTTGCTTGTGTTGTCCAGTATCTCTACTTTATCTTCAGGTCCTGATAGTGTATCTTCTACCTGATCTGTAAGGCTTTCTGTTGAGGTTTTTAGTTGGGTTATTGAGTTTTTCAATTCCATCTTCATTTCAACTTAAGTTCTACTTAATATATCTATCTCTTCACTGAATTCTGATTTTAAATCCTGAGTAGTCTTCATCATTTCATTCAGCCATGCATTTATACTTTTTTTTTTTTTTTGGTTTTTCGAGACAGGGTTTCTCTGTGTAGCTTTGCACCTTTCCTGGGACTCACTTGGTAGCCCAGGCTGGCCTTGAACTCACAGAGACCCACCTGCCTCTGCCTCCCTTGTGCTGGGATTAAAGGCGTGCGCCACCACCGCCCGGCGCATTTATACTTTCTTGAGCATCACTCAGGTGCTTACTTTTATCATCTTTAAGTTTAATGAAGTGTTTATTTGTGTCTTATTTAACTTCCTTGAATTTTTTGATAAGGTTTATTATTGTTCTGTTATATTCTATGTCTTCAGGTTCATCTAGATAATTCTTATTAGAGAACATTTCTATAGGACTAGTGGGTTTGATGGGAGACATGCTGTCTTGGACATTCATATTATTTGTGTTTTTATGATGTGACATGGGCATATCACATGTTGTGTTTCTGATATGAGAGTCTGGCCTGCCTTAGACTGTAGCAATGCAGGAGTTGAATGACAGGAGCTAGCTCAGGTAAAGCTGGTGCGTGAGCTGTTTAATGGGGCCAGGCAAAGATCTCTCCTGAACTGAGAGTCTGGAGCTAGGTCTATAGGTATGAAGATGTCAGAGACTGCAGGGAAAGGTGTGAGAGGAGAGGAGTGATTCATCAGGCAAAGGTTGTTTGTAAACAAAACAGGTTCAAGATCCAAGAGTATGGAGCTAGGGCTCTGGGAGATGGCATCAGGCAGAAGGAGGAGTGGGAGAAGGAAGAAGTGATGTACATTGCAAAGACAGCTTGTGAATAAAGCAGGTTTGCCTCCTGAGTCTGGGAGCTAGGCCTGTGAGTGTGTAGATGACGGCAGGCAGAGGGAACATGGGACAGGGAAGAAGGGACGTACCTGGCAAAGGCAGATGACAAACTGGCTATGCGTATTTTTGCCATATTATCTCAAAGATTTTGAAGGGTTGCTGTTTGTCATTATGATTTTATAACAATATGGACTATATGGAAGTTTAATATTCTAAGTGATATTTTTATATTTACTTAGTTACTGTTGCGTGGGGACATGTGTATGCCACAGTGTACTTGTGGAGTCAAAAGACAGCCTATAGGAGTTAGTTCTCTCTTTCTACTGTGTGGGTTCCAGGGATCGAATGCAGAGCTTCAGGCTTGGTGCCAATCCCCTTCACCTGCTGAGCCATCTTGCCAAATGGAAGTTTAGTATTTTCAATAGTCAAATTTTATTGGTATTTCCCTGTATTATTTCTTTTTTATTTTAAATGTCTAAAGTTATTCTCTAAACAGGGACAGATTTTTTGTAATGTAAATGTTTTTATTTATCTCTGGAGTTTTAGTATTTGATAAATATAAAATTCTTATGAAATATTAAGTGTGTAATTTTAGTGTTTTATACATAGTGGTACTCTACTTCTCTCCTATTATAGTCAGTAATTGTCCTAAACTACTTATTGAACATTTATTCCTTTCTTTAGCAATCTGTGTAATGGTCCATGCTTTCAGTTCACTCTACATTTTACAATTCGATAATTGATCTTAAAAATCCTTATTAATTATGTTACTTCCCAACTAAAATAACTTTTAAAAAGTATGAAAGAAACACTTTATGTTTGTGATATGCTTGATTAGCCCTACCTGCCAGCTCAACCTTCTAACCACCCTGTGGCTCATCTATGCAGATTTGACATATTGATTATAGAGTTCTATAAACTCAAATTTGCACATTTACATAAAAATTCCATTCCTGAAATGTCCTTTTTCTTTCTTTTTGTATTTAAATATATCCATGTCTTATGTGGCTTCAAAAACAGATTAAATGTACCTACCACTCATTATTTAGTTTCCATTCAAAGTTGTTTTGGCTGTGGAAACAGGTGATGGCAGGCACTCACTGTAAAAACTGAAGGCTTCATGTTAGGTGTGGAAATCAAGCCAGGCTCCAAAGCTGACTCCAAAAATGTCTTGAGCGAATAGGGAAAGGAGAGTGGCTCAGCTTTCATTACGATTGGGGAGTGTGGTTGATTTCAGGGTACCCACATGGGATGGAACTGACATGGCTAGGACTTGTTGACAGCAGCAAAGGAGAGAGTCCGTATGCTTTTCACTGACTTGCCCATGTGTGAGCAGAAGAAGTATGGAATATGTGAGGTCTGATGAGAATGGCCCTCATAGGCTCATTGTTTAAATATAGGACCCCAGCTGGCAGAAGTATTTGCCAAGGATTAGGGGGTGTGACTTTGTTGGAGGAGGTGTGTCACTGGGGTGGGCTTGAGGTTTCCAAAGACTCCCGCCATTCCTATTGTGCTCTCCCTGCCTCCTGCTTGTGGATCAAGATGTGAGCTCCCAGCTGTTCCTGCTGCCGTGCCATCACAGCCTCTACCCCTCTAAAACCTTAAGCTCAATGAACTGCTTTCTTTTACAGGTTGCCTTGGTCATGGTGTCTCTTTACAGCAGTAGAAAGGTAACAAACACAGAAGTTGCGACCAGGAAGTGGGCCTTTGCTGAGAATCTGACCACGTTGCTATTTGGGAGAATATGGAGGCCTTTAGAATTTTGTGTTAGGGTCCTCGAGAAGTCCCATAAAAGACCACCAGACACGATGCAATCAGCAAGAGTGTTTCCTATCTCGAGAGTAAAGACACCAGTGTGCTGGGGCTGCACATCCAACACAAAGGTGAAAATGGCAAGCCCCAAGAAAAGCTCACAGGCTCTTCTATCCACGTTGTTTTTCCCATTCTTAGGCAAGTCTGGACAAGTCCTAGGCTTTGTCCTTATTTGGTTATTACCTGTAGGGAGGAAGGGGGATTGGCTGAGGCCTTGTTCTTAACTGAGTTTTTAGGAGCCTGTCATGGTATTTGCCTGGCCTTCTCACTTTGGACTAAAGTAGTTGAATGCTGTAAGAAGAACTTAATTGACTGTCCTAGCAGGAACTTGGAAGACAGTAGTTCTGAGAGTAACATGGACTGTGGAATACCAGCTCCAGATGTTTCAGAGAGACACAACATTAGTAATTAGGCTAGAGACCATTATTTGGCCAAGGATGTGCCTACCTTCTGCCCTTGTTCAAAGAATTTTCTGAAGGCGAAATTGAAAATTAATGAACTAATTTCTTTGACAGAGGAGATTTTTAAGGCAGCCTAATATTGACTATGTTGTGTGGTTATTAGTGATCATTCTTTTGCAGATCAACTGTGATAAAAAGAAATAAAAAAAAGGTACACTTCAAAGAGAAAAATGGCACCAGGAAATTTAAGGTTGCAGCCAAGGCTTGTGCTGATAGAGCTAAGGAGAGAAAGGAGAGTCCTGATCCAAATTGGAATAAAAGGAGGGAAGCTCTAAGGGCAAGACCTCACCCAGCTAAGCCTATAAACTTGTAACAGGAAAATACTAAAGGATTGTCTGCGCCTCAAAAGCAATAACAAATGGCAGCTGCTGTGATTGTGATTCAAGGGGTCAGGCTCCACCCAAGCAGGCAGCTGAACTTGGCATGTTGTCTATGTGGTTCTGGCTTTAAGGTCATGAAGGTACCTGAATAAAGGGCTGTGAATTCTTCCTTCATGATTAAGGAGAGTCACTGAGGCCAGGCATGTGGCAGGGGATTTCCTGCATGGAGGCCCTGAGAGGCCATTGTGTACAGCTATAAAAGTGAAGCCTGGATTGCATTGGAGACCTCATTTTAGAGGTACCAGAGCTGTGGGATATCTGCAAAGGGAAGCTACACACAGGGAATGGAATTACCCTGAAAGAGAGGTGTTGTGTGTAGCAAAGCTGGGAGGGCGGAGCCATCTACATCTACATTTGGAGTTTGCCCTGCTGGGTTTCATTCCTGGCTTTTGTCCAGTATATCTTTACTGTACCCCAGTTCCTCCCATTTGGAATGGTAATGTATATTCTGTGCCATTGTATGTTGGAGAAATGTGATTTGATTTTTGATTTTGCAGGGTGTGATGGCTATTCTTGCTTGTCAACTTGACTACATCTGGAATGTGTTGCTACATGACCACACATGCACAGTCCAGTAGCCAAGTAAGAGGCTTAGTCATCCCTTATGTCCTATGTAATCCATGTGCTGCGTGGTCGCATAATTTGTGTGCAGTGTGATCATGCAATCTATGTGCATGCGTGGTGTAGCTATGTGAGCGCATACACACATGTGTGAGGGAATCCATAAAAAGCGGGTCATAGACTCCTCCCCCCATCTTCTTCCCCTTCTCCGTCTTCCTGTCTCTCTGCACATGTCTCTAAAACAGGCCTGAGCACACCTTCTCCTGTCCCCCTCTTCTAATAAACTCTCATAGTGGGTTTTGTTGTGCCTCGTGGCTTTTCTTGCAGGGTAAACAGCGCTGCACAAAACCAACAGAATGAAGTACAGTTGAGAAATGGTGGACACATCTGTGGGAGCTTTATTTATTTATTTATTTATTTATTCATTATTATTATTTTTTGGCTTGGTTTGAAGTGGGTAGTCCTGACCTTTTGAAGTAGGAAAACACATACTTTTGATCTAGCCACACCTTCTGCTGGAATGCCGATATAATGACACAGAGAAAGGAAGCTTTTGCTCTTTGCCTGCTTGTCCTTGCCTCAGTGGCAAGTCCATTCCTTCACTGGCATTAAAGCCTACTTCTCTGGGATTTTAGCTTATACTAAAGACCGGCTTTCTAGACTGAGCAACCACTGGATTCTTGGACTTTTCTGTTCACAATCAGCCATTGTTGGATTAGCTGGACTGTAGCCTGTAGTCACTTCAGTAACTCCTCTTTCTATATATCTATATATACAGAGGTTCATTCTTTAAGTTCTAGACCAGCGGTTCTCAATCTTCCCAATGCTGCGACCCTTTAATACAGTTCTTCATGCTGTGGTGACCCCCCAACCGTAAAATTATTTTTTTGCTACTTCATAACTGTAATTTTGCTACTGTTATGAATTGTAGTGTAAATAATATGCAGATTGTCTTAGACAACCTCTGTGACAGGGTCATTTGACCCCAAAGGGGTCACAACTGACAGATTGATAACCATTGCTCTAGACTCTAGTGGTTTTCAACCTTTGGGTGACCCTTTGGGGGTGTCGAATGATTCTTTCACAGGGGTGTCATATCAGATATCCTGCATATCAGATATTTACATTTGTTGGTTTAGTTTTGTGAGCTCTTGCACATGCACGCATAGGTTCTTAGAAGCACTGTGATAGTTGAACTAAGAGTCCCTATGTGCTCCCTGTGTTCAGACTCGCCTGTCCTCTGGGATCTTTTGACTTCTCTCCCAGGCTTCAACACCCTGAAGCAGCAGCTTATTGTATTGTTTTTTCTAAAGGCAGTCCTCTCTAGGTAGTAGGGTCTTGGTAAGGGTGTTGTTGATAATAGAAGGATCACACTTTGTTTTGTGGTCAGAGATTCTTAGTAATGAACCAAGATGTTAAGTATATTTTTTCATAAAAGATCAAATAGGAGGACTTCCATTAAACTAAAAGAACTCAAAAAATTAAAAAAAAATACAGACTTTTGGCCTAGGTAGAGAGGCATAATGCTTTAAACATATAGATGCTGAGAAAGTGCCTGGTGATATAAAATTTATGGGCTAACTGCCAGAATCAGAAGTTACTATGGTTAATGCCAAGCGATGTTTTTAAAAATAAACCTTTTAAAGGTAGCAAGTTGAAGCGAGAAAACAAGCAGGCTTCTGCTGAGGCATCAGTTGAAACCCTGAATAACTCCTTTGGACCTTCCAACCAGGGATTCTGAGGCACCGAGCGGTCAGTCCTGCTCATCTGCAGCAGATGGGCTCCCAAACCGCTGTTCTGCAGAGTCACGCTGCTGGTCCTGACGTTCTGACTGAGTCTAAGACTGAAAACGATTTTACAAACTAGGAAAGGAAGACGTTGAGCACTCGTCTCACTTCCTGAAGTCCCGATGACAAATTGTTTTTGAATATCACTGTGTACTCGATTCCAGCAGAAAATAACTGTGGGGTGGTTTGTTCACTGCGGAAAGAAGGGAAGGGCCACACAACTGGGTTTCCAGATAGAAGTCCAGCTGATCTCAGAACACTTCTCACAGAGTGAAGAAAGCAGCTAAGAACTCACAGACTTTAGCTTCTGAACACATCTTCTTTCCCTGGGATGGACTGTGGGAACCACCACTGTCCATTCAGCCCCAGAGGAACACCAGGAGTTCTGGGCCTGGAGACCTCCTGCCTGTCACCTGATGTCTAGCCGCCACCGTCTTGTCAACAGCCGGGCGGTACCGGGCGGTTTGCTTGTTTTTCAGGATAACAAGGGAAAGCCTGGGTGAGACAGCGAAGAAAACAGAGCCCTAGCAGCAACTGGCAGTCGGCCAACGCGGAGTCCCGTTCTCTGGAGAACTGAAGCCACAGGCCTAGGGATTTGGAACAGTGGCATCGTTCCTGCCAGAGCAGAGCTGGCTTACAGCATCATCTTCTGTCTTCTGTGACAGTGCCAGGCAACATTGTTTAAAGTGGCTAACAGTCACTGCATTCACCTTTATGTGACAGATTTATCTGCATCGACCAGACTTTCAACTGTGAATTATTTCTCATTGTGTCTAAAATGATAAGACTAGTTTTTTTTTGTGTGTGAGTTTGACCTTTGTGGGAAGTTAGGTGGCCATTCCTTTGATCCTTTGGTTTCATTTTCTTTGATTCCCAGGCATTTACAGTCATCTGAATTGAGTTTGATAAGCATAATTCAGATTCCCCACATCTATTCTCTAATACATTTCTCCTGCAATCCAGTCCCACTTGACCATAGTAAGCTCCTCTTGTTCATCCAGTCTGTCATTCAAATGGATAGCGAAGAGATGCACAGATCACTGGCGATGATGGAAAAATGGGGCTACAGCCTGAGGCTCAGATGCCTACTGAGGACAATAGGCAGAGTAAGGCAGTTTGTAAAGAAGTAGAACACTAGGAAAGAAAAAAAAAAGACCTAAATAAACTAAAGTAAAGGAAGGCTTTATTTGCAAAGCATGCAAACAAATCTCATGGCTGTCCAAGGGTGGGGGCTGTAGATCAAGGTAACTCTTTCCAGAGCATGTGATTTTTTTTTTTTTTTAATTTTTCAAGACAGGGTTTCTCTGTAGCTTTGGAGCCTGACCTGGAGCTTGCTTTGCAGAATGCTGAGATTAAAGGTGTGTGCCACCATCGCCCCACCACTGCCTGGTGTAACTTTTTTAAATTCATGTTGTTTCTAGAGTTTTATCATTTTCACTTGAGACCTGATTTTTAAATAAAAAAATTCTCTGTAGGAATTTGTCAAGATCTAGTTTGAAGCCAGAACAATGATCATGAAACACTCTAGGAATTTTTGGGATCACATTCAGGCCCCCGAGTATGATATGCAAATTCTCTATCCCAGTCACATCTCTAGCATATGTGTTAGATCCAGTGTTGGGCATCCAGCAGACCTCACAGGGAGCACTTGGACTGCAGGCCCTGTGAGGATCTACAGAGAGAGGAGTTCTTGCTGCCCCCTTCTATAGAGCTAGGGCCAGTTCTCAGTCACTTGTACTGTGGAGGCTGAACCCTTTGGAGTCTCAACATGGTGTGAGTGGGGACCTCATTTGGATTTCCCATCTTAAGTGGGCCCTGTAGCTCTGAGAGGTCCTCTACACAGAAGTTTATAGCCTACCGGAGTGGCAGATACATTAGGGTGAAAGCCACCTCAGTTGTGTACTTTCGGCCAGGGTCCCTGCTCTGTTCATGTTTTGGGGACATACAGAAATGAATTTTGCTTATACTCATTTTTTGAGTTATTTGAGAGTTAAGGAGCACCATTTAAGTAGACATTTTGGTTGTCTCAGTCAGGGGGCTTTCTCAGAATATGAGTGTTGGAACATGCAAGGGAAATTCTAGTGTTTGTGAGAAAACTTCAAGAAAATAAGACAAATCTTGTGACCTCAGTGGTGGTGTTTGTTTTTGCTCTTTTTCTCTTTGGGGGGCCCACCACCCAGCTCCCAAATAAATCACACATGGAGGTCTATTCTTAATTATAAATGTCTGGCCTTAGTTTGGTTTGTTTCTTGCTAGTTTTCCTTAACTTAACTTATCCCATCTACCTTTTGCCTCTGGGCTTTTCCCGTTCTCTTACTTCTGTAAATCTTACTCTTACTCTCTGGCTTGCTGAGTAGCTGGGTGGCTAGCCCTGGAGTCCTCCTCCTTCTCTGGCTACTTCTTTCTCCCTTCTTTCAGATTTCTCCTTCTATTAATCCCCTCTGCCTGCCAGCCCTGCCTATCCTTTGTCCTGCCTCATCATTGGCCGTTCACCTTTTTATTAGACCATCAGGTGTTTTACACAGGCAAAGCAACACAGCTTCACAGAATTAAACAAATGCAACATAAACAAAAGTAACACACCTTAAAAGAATATTCTGCAACATCTCCTTTTCTTCAAAACAGCAGAATTGTTCTTGGAATGTATTTTCATGCTCCTCCCAGGTGTAGGGGTTAGGAGTTTACTTAGGATTATTCATGACAACTGGCTATTGTTATTTGTTTATATGCCTCTGTGGAAAAACATGTTTCCTTGTGATTGCACACTTTACTCATGTGATTCTTCTTAACTTTCGGAGTATAAATCATCTGGTGCTCTGAATAAAGTTGGCTGTTGCATAAGACTTTAGTCTGTCTCATTGACCAGGCCCCATGGCCAGTTAAAGTGGCAATCCATGAGTCTCACCATGGTTCAACTTTGTGAATGACACAGTGCTCCTTTCTTGATTCTGGCAGCTTAACTGTGTCAGAGTTTATACTTTGGATTCTAGCTTACCAAGGCTTCTCCTGACTAAGGACTCTCGGAGCCTACCTCAGTCTCCACCCTTAGTGCTATTTGTCCTTGCCGTTTAATTGTTAGGAGAAAGAGGAATATGACACTCAATTCGGACAGTGTGGGTTCAGGGGTCACTGCTGCTTCCAGAGGGCCTGCCCTGGGTTCATTCATGAGGTGTGTGTGTGTGTGTGTGTGTGTGTGTGTGTGTGTGTGTGTGTATAAGTGTGTGTGCATGTGTG